GAGGTCCATTTTTATTACTTTACATCCATTTCATAGGGAAATATTCTACTTTCGACAGCTTTAGCTCTTTTTAAGATGAAGCTTTTCCACAACAGGTGATATAAAATGCCTTTAAAATACAACAAACAAAGAACAAACCAGTTGTTTGGCTTCCTACAAACAGCACTGTGTGTACTTTGTTTCACATTTCAGACGTCTGTGAGTTATTAACAGCTCCACCAAGTACTGATTTTTCCCGTCTAAACTTCTCACAAGGTTTTATTTCAGTAAATGTTCACATGATTCAATATCTCACCAAAAATCAAAGGTCGGAGAAAAAGAGTCCCAAAACTGAAAACACATTTGTGTGTCACAATTCAGTTTTTTTTTCTGCTTTCCTCTCACATTAATCATCGTATTACGCATCTGATTTATCTGCTGCTCCTGCATATAAAACTGGATTAAAAGTTGAAAGCAGCTCCACCTGCAGCAGCTAAAACACCAACATTCTGCTGACGCACTGACTTTTCCCTATTAATAATCCACTGATGTCATATATACGATTATATTAGTCACAGGGACTTTTACTTTAGTAGTTTAACTGCATTTTGCTGCTAATACTTTCACTTTAGCAGGATTTTTTTTTGTGCAGCATTTTTACATTGTTGTGTTGGCATTTTTACTTTAGCAGAAGATCTGAGTGCTTCTTGCACCTCCAGGCATCTGTAAGAAGACTGGAGAGCTTTTTTTGTTTGTTTGTTTTGGAAGAATGCCCAAAAGTACAACATTTGGATGCAGGCTGATTACTGAGAGCCAGAACATCCAGAAAGCCAAAATATATTTAGCAGCGAGCCTCAGCCTCTTGTCACATGTGGGATCCGTGAGTGATTAAATCTGAACCAGGAGGATGGATGGAAGTCAGCCTCCTCATCCTGTGTAGTAAGAGAGGGGATGTGTTGTTCGTCAGTCATGGCTCCTTGTTTGCTCACATTTGATTGCTTTAAGATGCATTTGAGAAAGGAAGGTGTGGACGGTTAACTAGAAGAATGATGGGTTTTAGGGAGGTTAAACTCTGATGAGTATTGGAAAAAGGGTGCCAAAGTCACAGTCTTTATCAGAGTTGGTGGGGAGCAATGTTCACTGTTGTATGCATGCAGTCACTGAGGCCAAAGTGGCAGTGTGGCCAGTAGAGGGCGCTGTTCAGGTGGTTTAGTGTGTTATGACTTAAAGTCTGGAGGGATTGTGAGAAGCTCTGATGACAGCTCGAAAGAAATAGAATCATGATCCAGTAGAAGAGACTTTGATACAGATCTACACATCTTTGTGCATATGTAGAATTATTTATTTACTAATTGGTTTGCAGTTGGTAGCACTGTTGCCTCGCAGCAAGAAGGTCGCCGGTTCCCGTCCCAGTGAGGACACCTGGGATCTTTCTGCGTGGAGTCTCCATGTTCTCCCCGTGCAGCGTGGGTTCTCTCCAGGTTCTCCAGCTTCCTCCCACTAGTCCGAAAACATGTTGAGGTTAATTGGTGATTCTAAATTGTCTGTAGGTGTGAATGTGAGTGTGCTTGGTTGTCTGTCTCTAAGTGTAGCCCTGTGACAGACGCGACCTGTCCAGGGTGCCTTCACCCTGAGTCAGCTGGCATAGACTCCAGCCCCCTACGACCCTAGTGAGGATTAAGCGGTGTATAGATAATGGATGGATGGATGGATGGATGGATGGATGGTTGGTTCCTGCACACTTACAAGACACCAAAATACTGTAACAAGAGCACAGCTTCTTACATTACACTGCAAACAGCTTTGTCTCCTGCCTCATGAATAAAACCAGCCACACAAAAGGTTTCCATTTGGAGACACAGCTCAAGTTTCTTATCATCATTTGTCTCATCAGGAATTTTATGAAATCGCCCTTAAATTTTTATGTAATGAGCAATAACATCCAAAGTGGACAAAGTCTGGTGTTTTTGCATATATATTGCAAATAATAACCTCCAGAATCATCGACTGCTTCTGGGATGTGTTAAAAGGGCTTTACTGTACATTATTTGAAATAAGGATGGCTAAATTTTACTCTAAAATTTAGTGAAAAATCCACAGATCCTTATATTATATCTTATTATATTCTATATTATATAATGAATCTGTATTTTTGTGTATATTATGCTGCATGTAAGTGAACTGTATGCTTTTAATCCATATTCTTGCTTGTTTTATTCTCCTATTATGTCAAATGTTTTGCATAGATGTCCCTAAGTGTTTGTCAAGGCAGCAACAACAAGAAAAATCATTACTTATTATTACTTTTGCATATAATTTAAGTTGTGCTGCAATGATTACTTCTGGATGCCGAACAACATCCAACAAAGGGACTGCTGATGAAAATTAGCCGTTTATTTAAATATAGATTAATGCACATTGTCCCTTTTCAAATAAATATCCAAATTGAAATTAAAAATTGAGGAGCCTTGTTACATTTACCGGCTGAGTTACAGTTCAGTTTGAGAATCTCACACCTCCTCCTCTGGCCAGAGCTGTAGCATATCATATTTTTACAGCATTCATATATAGTGAGCATTACAGTGCGATATTTAAAGTCTTTTCAATCACGCTTTTATGCATTAAGTCGTACATTCTGAAATAATGTTTCTCTCTATTGCTGCTATTTTATTGATATTATTAATTTTTCCAGCACCTGAATAAATCACACTCCTTAAGAATTCCTTGAAAAACTTGGGTTTTATCAACCACCCAGTAAAGACCTTTACTGCCCTCATGTGGTTAAAACCTGGGATTGTCGATCCTTCTGTCACTGGGGTAAAATACTCTAAAACTCTTGGAATCTCCATGAAACTATACATAATTTTATATCAAAATATAGTAAATTCTATGAAAAGTCAGTTGAGAAAGCCTGTATTAATTGATTGCTTTGTGTATTCCAACAGGATGCTGTTTTGTGTTAATCCAGCGAATAGGTGACTGAAAAATTCAACCCATTTCATCACACTGAAAAATCTAATCAAAATCTATTTGTGTCATATCAAGAGTGTAACCAGAGACTAAATCACAATTGCCTTCAGTCTAAATGGTCTAACAAAAATTTTGACAATCAAAAACCAAGTTTAAATAATCTTGTGATCTTGTATTCTCCAGTCCTATAATAAATACAAAAATAAGCATACATAAATATTTAATCTTTCTGTGGTGAGATTAAATAAGAATTTTAACTATTTTCCGGCCTAGTTTCTCTACCCTAAAAGATGGACTATCGGGGAAAGATTGGTAAATGTCTGTAGACGTATGAAAGCTTAAGTGTTGTTGTCTCAGTTCAACAACAACACCATCATTTTGTGACAGGAACAACAATCTCTATAAACTCACAAACTGTCACTCTGAAGAGACTCCGAGATGCATTCGATCAAAGAGTGGATATCAGCACAGTTGGACATTTGCAGATTTTAAATTATAGTATTTTCTTCATTCTAACGCAGAGTTTCAAAGCAATATTACTGTGCTAGAATAGTTTTTAGGTGAAAGAAAATCCACTCGTCTGATCCCTCCGGCTGTCCATCACACTACAAAGCAACACCGTGACTCCGGCCTCCACTCACAGCTCAGTCCGTCCATCACTGCCACCCAGGTGAGTGAGAGGAGAGTCAGGCAGAAAGCCGTGACAGCTTCAACCCCGGGGTGCTTGAATCATCTGCCAGTCAGCTAGCAGAGGCTCTCTAACACCTCTGCAATGGATTCCTGCAGCTGCGCGGGGTGCATTCACTGTGAAAACCTCCTGTCTGCTTCCAGAGCCAAATAAAGGACGAACACGCTGTCATTCATGAGTCAGCAGCCGGCTCAAAAGATGCTGTCTCTGAGGTGCGCTTACCTGTCTCTGTGCTCTTGACACCTCCACACCTTCTGTCATATGCTTTTCATCCCTTATTTGCACTGGTAACCGCATAATAAAACACAAAACTTTACCAGTTATCCAGCATTAATAAGACCAGCTGCTGGGTAATGAGGAAGTAAAAATCTCTCCACCATTTGATAAATCATTTGATTAATAAGTCCCTGTGTAATACACTATTCTGGCCAGTAAGTGTTTGGTAATGACTAAAATGCCGCAGTATGCCTCACTGCAGCTTTGAGGGGGTCAGAGGTCAGAGGGTCCATTGGGGGAGTGATTGATAAACTAATGACTAACAAAATAAAAAACAAGTCACCATCTGGAGGAGCTTATAAAAGCCTGTATAAATAGCGACTGACAGTAGTCATAATATATAATATTCATAAAACATGGATAGGTTACAAAAAGCATTGTGTGACTAAGATTAAAAACAAATCAGCAAGCGAGAAAAAGAAAATCAAACCATAGAAATATAGAAATGATGCAGTAAAACAGTGACAATGACAATAATGATAACAATTATCAATATTATCATTATTATTATGATTTTAAAAGTATATTATAAGTAATTTATGCAAAACAATATTTTTTTTATTTTTATGTTTTACAAGTATCGCTATATGATTATACCGTGATTATTATCGTTATTATTGCTTTTTATTAATAAGTCTTTGAAAACAACAACAACAACAACAATAACAATACTATTACTACTGATAATAATGTAGTGATTTTTAAAACCTACATTATACTTACTAATTTGGATTTTTATATCTCATATATATCATTATAACATTCTACCCTTTATTATTATTGTTAGTGTTGTTATTATAGATGTTTACTTATTATTCTATTATGACAACAACAATGCTACCAGTATTACTACTACTGCTAATTTTACATAATATAAAATAATAATGATTATCATGATAATGATGGTAATAAAATTAACAAGTTCTAAAAAGCATCTCACTAAATGGACTATATAATTACGCCTTTAGAGTTAGGTTTTAAAAACTACAAGTCCCAGTCGCAATTAGTGGCTCGCGCCAACATGTGATTGGTCGATTCCAGCAAAGCGTCTTATGATTGGTCAACGGTGGCCATGTTTGTATTTCCAGCTGGTAGATGCGGGCTAGCTAACCGGTTAGCCGTCTGAGCTGCATTTGCCTCTTTCTTCGGGGTAAAACATAAAGGAACGGCCGTGCCAACCCGTCAACAACGGCTTTTCTGAAAGTCGCCATGCCGGTTCACTCGCGGGAGAAGAAAGAGAGCAACCACGAAGAAATGGAGGTGGACTTTCCGGAGCAAGACGGCAGCAGCACAGACGAGGAGGACACCGTTAGCTCGTCCGTGTCTGAAGATGGAGACAGCTCCGGTAGGAAAAATAGGCCTTAAACATCAACCGACACTTGAATTCATTAAAACGTACCGGTTTCTCACATATAGCTTTAACGGAATTTGTGGTACCTGTCGAAAATCGCTTGACATTTTGGGCAGTGTGTGCAAATACAGTCTGGAGTGGAGATGCTGTGTGTGGCTTGTAAGTAAAGCAGCTGACATGGAGGTGATGTCAATCCTGTCATGTCTTCATGTGAACAGAGATGGATGATGAGGACTGCGAGAGGAGGAGGATGGAGTGTCTGGATGAGATGACCACACTGGAGAAACAGTTCACCGACTTGAAGGAGCAGTAAGTTCTCCCCCATGTTGGCTCCAAATACACCCAAAGTCCACCTGCTGCTGTCTGAGGTCAGAAACTCTGACCTCTGTCATATCTTGAGGTTGTTTGGAAAACTTTCCCATAAACTCACAGTCGGTAATGTGATGCTCAGAGGACTGAAATCTCACCAAAAGCACCAAAGGTTTCAGTCCTTTCTGTGCTGAGATGTTGCATCTTTTACAGAGTGGTAGTCAGACAGAAAAGTAAATTAAAACTTGACTTTTTGCTGATATCGTCTTCTCTAAACTGACTTTTATTTGGAGCTGCGGTTGTTTTGAAATTGGCTCATACTATGACAGATTTGGCTGAAGTACCAGTACACACAATCCATAAGACAACTCAGTTTTAATGAAGGTACTGAGCGATCTCTGTGGCTACAAGACATATTTTAATTGCTACACTCCAAGTAATTGTACAAGAACAGTTCAGTTTGGACTTGATCTGCTTTGTCTTGTTTTTTTTTTGCTGTTCAGGTTGTACAAGGAGCGACTGAGCCAGGTGGACATCAAGCTGCAGGAGGTGATGGCTGGCTGTGCCCAAGAGTACCTGGAACCTTTAGCCAACCTGCAGGAGAACATGCAGATCAGGACCAAAGTGGCTGGTGAGTCTAACAATGTTTTAGCATTGTTTTAGCGATCCTATCTCTGGAGTTGTTCTAACTATTTAGGCAAAGGAAGCTGCACAAATCTTACTTTCTGCATATTTGTTCTGCTAGAATCTTATCAAATAAACACTAATCACAGGCAGGTTGCTCAGTGTTATAAAAAGAAGAAAGGCAAAATTTGTTAAATGTATATCTCAAAGACAAGTGCAAGTGTTGCAGCTTTTTTGTATTGTCAAGGTTCAAGATTTTTATTTGCCAATTGTACACAAGCAGACAGTCCAGGCACAGTGGAATTCTTGTGCGGGGCTCTCTTGGAGTCGAGTTAAAAAAAACACCTAGTAAAAATAGATGAGCAGTAAAACACGAAACAATAAAACAAGAGTAATAAAGATAAAATACAAATACATAAATAAATCTGAATGCTGCACAAGGAACTACTGTGACAGTGACAACAAAAGTCTTTTCATGTGGCTTGTTTTGAATGGTTTGACTAGTTGAACCTAAGGATTTCTGACCATCTCTGACCACCAAATCTCCTTGTGACCCTACTTAAATATTTATCATTACTGGATGCTGTGGTCAGGTTGGACCTGAAAATACGTGAGCATTTTGTTTTTCTAAAAAGGAGTAAACTTATAACATTACAATAGGTGAATAACAGTATTCTTGTCACTGGGATCAAGACAAATCAACAGCTTTCCTCCTGGTTGCCTCAGAATGATTTACCGCTGACTTTTTCTTGCCCCTTTTTTGGCAGGAATCTATAGGGAGCTGTGTTTGGAGTCTGTGAAGAACAAATATGAGTGTGAGATCCAAGCTGCTTGCCAACACTGGGAGGTGAGGGGCCAACCAAATCAAAAATACACATTTTTCCGTCCGATAAAATAGTAGGAAACCCATTGAAATTGTAGCAGTTTGGATTTGTGCCACAAATGGATAGATTCAACTCCAGTCCTTCCTCTGGAGATGGTTTTTGATGATGAATATAACTCTGTGTTGACCAGCGTGTCTTTTCTGTCTTCTAGAGTGAGAAGTTGCTGCTCTTTGACACTGTACAGAGTGAACTGGAGGAGAAGATAAGACGACTGGAGGAAGACAGACACAGTATTGACATAACCTCAGGTACCAAGCAGGGCATCCACCAACTATTGCCTAAACTTTTTTTTTTCCCCCTTTTGATCCATTTATTCATCAGTTAGTCAATAAAATGTCAGACATCCATCAAAAGTTAGGCCTGCAGTGACACATTGAAGTTTCTTACTTCCTGTATTTATCATCACAAAACCTCACAGTGCTCCGTTTATATTGATACGAAACAGAAAAACCATTCTTCAAATTTTTTCCCAACAGCAATTGATGAATATTTGGTTGTTTAATTGAAAGACAGTTAAAAAAGATTATTTTCTCAAAACTGTCAACCTAGTATCAAGTAATAGGAAGTACTTATGTACCACTACACGACAGTGTATGATTAGGTTGTGAGTCCATGAATGCTTATTGTGCGACCTGAAAACAGCGCTTAAGAACTCCTGCAGTATTTGTCAGCTGATAGACTTTGGTTGTTGTGATACAAAATGTTCACAGAAGGTTTGTGTTGTAAATACAGATTATCTGGCTGGCTCAGGTGACTGCTGCTTACCTGGTACACCAACTGTGACTGAAATGTTCCTCCAAGCATTATTTTTTATATAACAATGTTGTGCTAGTTCATTTTACAGACATTGGTTCTTACAGACCAACGGCGGTGTTAATACGTTGCTATGCCGCTTTCATTTTTTGTACTGTGTGAATATGTGGCGTTCGGGCCTCAGGAAAGAATTCTGTGGTGGACACACTTTCTGAATGCTATCAAAGACTCAGTGGATAAACATTGCAATTCTCATTTGGAATATGTTAAGTGACAGCATGTCAGTGAGCATTTAATGTATGTAAAATATAATTGAAGTTGATGCAAATACAGAAGGGGTGACAAATGAAAGGAAAAAAACCATATAAATTGTCAGTAAGACTTTTGGAAAAATCTTCAGTTTAACTTCCTAAGTCTCTGGAAATCCACTGGAGTGATGAACACTCTTTTTCCAAAAGATGTTCCCTCATTTGTTGAGCTTATGTTGGTGGTAGAGAGTGCTATCTAACACATCGGGCCAAAATCTCACAGATTTGTTTAGATGAAATCTGATAAATGTAGAGGCCACAGCATATGATTCACGTAATTTTCATCAAACTATTCAGCATCCCCTCGTGCCCTATGGATGGAAGAAACCACACCCATCAGAACATTTCGTCATAGGATAAAGGGATCACTCTGCACAGCCTTGTGTTGATTTACAGTGACTCGTCTCTCTAATCACGCCAGTAAAATGTCCCCCAGAGCCACCAGATCCCCTCATTGTCGGGGTCAAGGGGTTCAGCTTTTCCTTTATTTGTTATCTGTCTGTATGTTATAGAAAGGCATTGACACAGAAGCAGAGTGTTTCCCCTCTCTCTAATCAGTCCTCTTTACTTTCCAGAGTTGTGGAATGATGGATTACACTCACGGAAAAACAAGAAAAAGGACCCGTTCTGCCCCGTCAAGAAGAAGAAGCCTGTTGTTGTTTCCGATATCCTTCCCCATTGTCCTGTCCTTGTCCTATTCCTCTCGTCATTCATCTCCACTCACATATTTGTAAGACCGAAACTTCCTGCTGTTTGACTTCCTTAACCCTTATTACGACCTTATATTGTTTACATGCTGCAAGATCTGGATATTCTTGAAGACTGGACTGCAATAAGAAAGGTATCTTTCTTTATTTTGAAAGCAGATAAAGTATTCACCTGGTGAATGCAGCCAAGTTGTGATTTCACCTTTCGGGTTGTGTGTGCTTCCTCCCCCTCACAGGCGATGGCATCACTGGGGCCACACAGGGTGAAGGTGGATGGTAAGAGTTTCTCCTCGTCCTCGGTTACAGTCAATATCTGGCTGAGTGCAGCGATCGACCCGCGCTTACACAAGGAGGGGTTGATGCAATGCTTTCTTCCAAAAGTACTGAAGACTGAAAAGGAGACTGCCTGCTCTCCTTTTTCATATTTTGTGTTGTCTTCTTTTAACCTTACACTGTCCCTTTCGCTTGACTTCCTCACATCTCTTCCTCACCGGGTTTCTCTCCTTACAGTCCCGGCAGCGAAGCCCGACAGACATCACCACGTGGCACGCTCCGAGGACGGGCGACTTTTCTATGACAACCAGTGGTACTGCAGGGGACAGGCCATCTGTATCAACAGGAAGGACGAGTACCCGACTAGGTGAGTGCAGGGGGAGTGTTTCATGAAGAGTAGTTGGACATACCTGTCAACCCTTTCAGATTCCTACCTGTTTCTTCTAATGAAAGAGAGGAGAGGAGAGATACATTACACATGAATGGACAGGTACAGTTATAGCACGTGTGTTCTCCCGCAAGTGCTTCTTTCATGTGTACATCTGCAGAACTGGGAGTCCGTGAGGTCACATGGCATCTCTTTTGTAAATGTTCGTGGATAAATTTAAACAAAGAGAGACGATTGTGGTTCCACATCCTGTCAGGACAGGATGCACAGTCAATAGATGGTGTGAATCCACTGCGCCACTGAGTGCAAAACAAATGTAAATGAGGACCCAAGATTCATTTGTTTATATATAACTCGACACCACAGAAGGTATAGTACAAAAAGCAAAGCCTGAGGACACATAGACATCCAGGTCTAGATGCATCAACATCTCTTCTAGGTCCACAACCAGAATTTGTGAATGCAGATGGAAATATGGACATGCAATCTAATTATCAAGAAAGCTGTGTGAATGCATGGTTCAGTTTTATATATTTCAATTGTTATCAAGCTGGGCGCTCAAACCTCTCCTTTAGTTGGCCGTAAGCGGATAAAGACACAGCCTGATTCATTTTTATGTGTAGACATAGCTCTGGCGATGGTCCATAACTCTTAAAACATGTCATCTATATTATCAGAGTGGAATATTTTCTCATATGGTGTTGCATTAGCAAAAACAATACCAGAGCAGTCATCATTACACACAAACCTTTTCCATGACCGTGGCTATTTGCAGCATCCACTTCATTAATTTAAGTGCTTTAAGTGCTTCACTAAATCAGATGGAATGAAAACGAGAGGAATTGTTGCTGTTGACCAACACAGAAGTTAATTAATGCGTCTTTAATAGTAACAATAGTACACAGTCACTGTCCGTTGGGATTAATTGCTGTCAGGAATAATGATTTGTTAATAGTAAAGCCACATGTATGCACAGTCCCTATTACTCATTAGGCAAACAAATATTCTGTTTTTAAAAGCACCAGTTTGTGTGTGTGAAGTGGTTTTCATTGTTTAGTCATGTAGCTCATCTTGTGGCCCACTGGTCATATTTGTCAACCAGATCATTCAAGCAGTTTGGAAGTATTCTCATTTTTTACTTGTGTAAAGTTACCAATACAGCAATGTTAAAATACTCCCAAGTCCTTCATGAAAAATCCTGCTTAAGCAAAAGTAGAAAACCATTAGCAGTAAAATGTACTTAAAGTGTGAAAGTAAAAGCCCTGGTTTGATCCTTCTGGCTGATATATTATTATAGCTGCCATCATTACATTATTAATAGTGAAGCATCAGTGTGTCGGCAGCAGGTTGCTGTTGGAGCTGCTGCAGGTTTGAACTTCTTTATATCCAGTTTTATATTCAGGGACAGCAGATAAATGTCCGGGCTCGACAGGTGACTAGTGTGAGAGTAAAGAAGCGGTTCTGATACACAGTCAATAGGAAGTATTTGAATATTTATTGAAATGAAACCATGTGAGACTTTTAGAGGGAAACCTCATGACTATAGTAGAGCTGTTATCAACTCAGACACATCCGTAACACGAGCCTGACTACACAAACCACTAGTCCAAACATGAACTCATCTTAAATCATGTATTTTTAAAGCTTGATGTATTATCCATTGTGTAAAAAATTCTTCTTGAAAGTAACTAATGCTGTCAGATAACTGTAGTGGAGTAGAAAGTCCAACATTTCCATCAGAAATGAAAGTAAAATTAACTGGAATTACCCAAGTGAAGTACGTCAAACCTCATTGTACTGAAACCACAGCACTTGTACTTAGTTCCACTGCTTTCAAGAATTTCTAATGATTTTCCAGCTCTCTGGGAAATTTAAAGTGTTTTTTTTTTGTTGGACTTTTGGAAGTAGAGTTGTTGGCCAGTCTGCAGAAAGTCCTGAGTTCTTACTAAATAACGTACAATAGCTCTTTACTGTTCATGAAGCCAGTCTTAATTTTCTCGTTTATATCACGTGTGTATCCTCTGTGCCATCTATGAGCTCTGAGGTTGGATGTTGCGCTGACATTTTTGTTTGTTTGTGTGTCGCGCAGTGCCATCATCACCACCATCAACAACGACGAGGTGTGGTTCAAACGACTGGATGGCACCAAGTCAAAGCTGTACATCTCCCAGCTGCAGAAAGGCAAATACACTATCAAACACTCATAAAAACACACACACACACACACGCACATATAGACAAAGACCATCATCTCTGCTGTGTTTCTTGTTGTCTCCTTTTTCTGTGTGGTATCTTTTTACATTCTACACAAACAGACACATACCTCACTTCACTCCCTGTGTGCACAACAACAACAACAACAACAAAAAGAAAAAAACTGTCCAAAAAGTGACGTATATCAACTGGTATAAGGAGACGTTCTACTCTGTAAATATGTATATGTGTGTTGATATTATCGACAAGGTCACAAAGTGTCATTTTCTCTGGAACGGAGATCAATGCAAAGTGCTGCTAAAACGAAAACGGAGGGAGAAAAACCGGAGCAGTAGCAAACTGTGAACCGCGGAGCTCAGTCGCGTGCCTTTCTGAGACAAGACGATGCCTCGGCTGATGTGGGGGTTAAAAAAAAGTATATATATATATGTAAAACAAAAAAAAAAACCCAAGCCCGGAACTATGAATCTCAACGCAGTGAAGCCTTACTCTGTGCTGGGTTAGCACCAGGAGGACTGAAGCGGGTCAGTGAACGAGTGAATCCAGGTGAGGACGCCATCGGCAGCGCGTTTGGTTCACCTCTCCGGACGCACGAGTTAGACTTGAATTTCATACAGAGCCTAATAAATCTGTGTCAGGCTCCCCAAGGGACCCTAGAACAAGTTTGATTTAGTAAAAACGTGTCAATATGGAGACGGAGAACGATTAATCAATATTGAGTAAATGGTTATATTGTGAACATAATGAGATAAAGCTATCCTTGGAGAATACCTCCGGGGTTTTGTTTAAACCCACTTGGGACGCCACTGTACTAAATGATTTTATTTTAATGTTTTGGATCTTTTACTGTAATTTTTCCCCTACATTTTTAAGTTCAAAACAAGGCCAGCCCTCTGCACTAAGTAAAACAGGAAATCTGTATTTAAAGCGTACAGTTATGGGAGCTGCCCTGTATATAGAGACCTCGATGTGTTTTGTGATTCTTCTCTCCGTCTCCCCTCATGTTGCCATTCGTCAGATAGTGCCTAGAACTTTACATTTAACGCAGGATGCAGGCTTTAGTTAAGTCAAGACTTGGAGTTTAACAACAACAAAAACAAAAAGCTCCACAGGTTCGGGCTTTTTTTCATTTTTTTATTTTTATGTCTGTGGGGTCATGAAAGCCTCAAATCTGCAGTGCCATTTTTCCGCATTTTATATTCACTGTCCTCCTATTGTCTTTGTTCCTTCCTCTTTGTTGTCACTTCTCTTTCCTTTTATCTTCTTTCCTGTCAGTAAAAGTGTTCCTCAACACTGATGTATTAACAGTACAAAGAAAAAAATCAAAACTTGTGTGTGTGTACGATCCGTCCAATCAAACCTTCTGTGTACATTGTGTTTGATTGACTGAAGGAAATCTCGCATTGTATTTACGGTGCTTTATTTTTTAGCATTGCGCATTTCAAAGTATTACCTGCCAACAGTATTGTAAAGAAAGGTGCTTGCAACATATATCATGAGGAAAAAAAATGTCTGTGAAGACTCACGTGGCCTACACTGAGCAGAACTTTGGACATTTTTGCTGCAAGTCTTGTTTTTCATTTCATTTTTTTTTACCTTTTTAATGCATCATGGTTCCTTTTTCCACATTACAGGTAAAAAAAAAAATAAAAAAATGTGACATTGTGCCAATGCATGTACAACTGATGAAAGATTTTGTTTGTATCATTTGAAGAGAGTCTAATCTGCGCGTAAGTAATCCTCATCATCATAATCTATCCCTCATATGTAAGAGAGAGTCTTAAGTACTTTAAAAGCATTTCTAGGGAAAAAAAAGAAAGCGTCTGTGCTTTTAAGTGATTACAGTATCATCATGCGGCTCTCAGCTTGAGTCAGGCTAACTTCCTTTTCTTGAACTTTACAGCTTTGGATAAAAAAAATAGAAGAAAAAAAAACTCAGAGCTTTGCAGAGAACTTGAATATCCTATTGGATTTGGCCTAGCATGCACAAAAAGCTCAGATACAATCTTATATAATACTTCAGTGTAACAAAGGGAGAAAGTCCCTGACAGTGCTCAACCCAAAGTCACCCCCGAGGTGAGCTGAACCCTGGCTCCACTTCTCTGTGACCAAAAAAAAAAAAAAAAGTGGCTTATTTGGAAGGAAAATGCTGAGCTGGTCCTATTTGATAATGGCTCTTTGGTCTGCTGCGCTGTTCAACCTTTCAGTCACTTATTTCTGCCAAAGGGCCACTCACTAGATTAACACCACATACTGGTATCGATTCAGGATCGACGCTGATGTACCACTTTCTTGCCCCCCTCGCTGTCCATCTGCCTGCTGCCCGGGCCTCTGCAGACACCTCGTACCGAACCGCTGCAACCTTTGATTGATCTATTGGGAGTATTGATCAGGTGTAGGCTGAAATTTAAAGGAATCAATTGAAAGGGTAATTGGTCTACGCTAGATTGAACTTTGTAATCAAATCCAAATTTTAACCTTCTGAACTCCAGGCGGTTTTTGGGCATTTTTACTCACTGTGGCCTCGTTTTTCACTGCAATATAAAGTCCTTCACCTCTGTGGAAACAGCACAACCACGGCTAGAAGAAAGGAGAACACAGTTTTTAGTGCAGTATGACAAAAGTCGTAATGGCATAAAGAATTAAAGATGTGGTTTATTTGTTTTACAAAAATTGGAAAAACCATGATTCAACAATGATTCATCCAATAATGGAAATAATGGTCGTCTACATGCTGTGGGGCAGAATTTTGTCTTTATAGGACTTTTTAAAGATATTTTAATAGTGATTTTTAGGAAATATCACCATGTTGTATTCAGATTTGGTTAATTTCCCCAATAGGACCACAAATCACTCATGATCAGTTCGAGGACTGTTGGGAATTTCAAAATCAGACTTTTGTTTTCTGTTTTTGCAGCTTGCGGCTCTGATAAATGGTGCAATTTCGACAGTTCTTTTAATCTACACACACAAAGGGGGCTCAAAGGGTTACAAATGAGTGCACTTTGCTAGAATTTAGTTGGACCATAACATGGTCTCAGTAGGTCAACACTAGTCAGTTTAGAAAAGGTAACACATTTCAAAATCTCATATTTGAATACAAACGATACCCTCTACCCCCGAACACAATAACAGAACGCGTACAAGCACAGCATTGTATCACCAACATACAGACAGCTCACTCACCTTCACCTTCTCCCACCCTTAATGTGACAATTAGCATCAGAAGCAGTTTGATTTACAATAATTTGAAGAACTAATGAACCCAATATTGAAACCAGCAGCTGTGTATTAAAATAACCGACATCCAGTTTCTAAGAAAACACATTATTGCAGACGTCTGGGTGAATATGAACACGCACACGGGACCAGAAACTGTTTCACACATTTGAAAATGAGCTGAACCCAGTGAAATTTCCTTCTAGTCTGCAACCAACTGACAGTTCATATAAGAGACGGTGGTGAGTTCTGTGTGGGCACCTCCAAACATTTCCTCGCACCTCTATGCTGCTAAACCTTCCTTCCTGTGTGGCCAAAAGGTGTCAGTAGTACTCCACAGCAGAGAGGAAGCAGCCTCTGCGCTAGATGGGAGGAGGGAGGTGGTCTGTTAATCTGGGGCACCCTGCTGCTGAAGCCTTCCAGCTGATGAGAGAGCGAGAGAGAGAGAGAGGAGGGATGAAGGCACAGTTTGATCACAGCTCGCTGGCCACGTCTGCTACCGCAACAGAGCGAGGCACTGAGAGAGAGAGAGAGAGAGAGAGAGAGAAAGAGGAAAATCCCCATCACCGCGTCAAAGGCAGAAACAGCAGCAAACCAAGCAAGCAACAGGGGCTGTCGTTCTCTCTACGAGCCATGCAGCATCTCTCTAGAGCTTTCCTTGAATCTGCCTCCTGTCAGTGTGCACATCAAAGCATGTATGAATGATATAACAGCAAAGGGAAAGAGAGTGGTGGTGGGGGGGTTCCTTGTTTGTCTTATTTGTGTGTGTGACGCTGTTCAATCTGAGGTTCTGGATTGTTCTGGGGAGCCACTGCTGTGACGAGTCAGGTCCTGACGGATGAAAGAGGCTGGCCATCTTCGGCTCCATCTATACTTAATGAGTAACCAGAACTGGAGGGTCATTGGGACGTGTTTACTGCAACACTGGGGCTAATTAGACCGTGAAAGTGTCACACTGTGCTAAATTACTTATATCCCTGCCCCTCTGTGTGATGTATGTGCATCGCTATGTAGTTTTTTTTTTTGTTGTTAGCAGAGCGAGGCCCTGCATGTAGAATCTCTTTGTGCATGCATGCATGTGCTGCGTGTGCCAGGCCCCAGCGTGGGCGTGTATACGTTTGATGCTGATTGTGTAAGAGAATGCTAAATGCATACATCTATAAGTTGCCATCAAAGGGATGAGGCAAGCTGCTCATCGTCGGGATAGACGGAGGGGGAGAGAGACGCCGAGGCGGGATTCAAATGGACGAGGCTGCAGTGTGCAACCTGTGCTCTAGATGAGGCCGGTATCACCTCTCTAAGGGTGTCAGTGGCAGTGCCCTAGAATTAGCACTCGGGGTATTGCTGTTTCTCCACTGTACGCTGTCTAGACTCTTCTTGCATCAAGTTTCTGCATCTGTAAAGAATTTCTGCATAATTTGTGGATGTTTTTTTCCCCTATTACCATTGTGTCCTGTTGCGCTTTTATAGACTTCTTTAAGACTAATTTCATAAGATAAATCTCTGGAAATGTTTGATCTACCTACTGAATGCCTTCAGAATGGCTCCAAGTGGGGGCTAAAACAGTGGGAAGACAACTACGAGTAATAAAATGCCTTTAGAATTTTAATTAAGCTTTTCTTTCACCAGGAATGCTTGTATTTTCCACATGCTTTTGCCAAGTAAAAATATAAAGAGATTCACTTTGGAGAAGCTAAAGCATAAATAAAGAAACCGTCAAGATGACAAATGTTACGTGGAGGAAAATGTCAAACTCCACTTGACTAAAACCTGACAGTGATGGTGTTTCGGGAAATGGAGCATTAGTCAGCTTAAATTAGTGATTGACAGTTAAATTGGACAGTTGGAAGGAGAAAAACTATTCTACAGCTGACTCTGGATTACTTGAAGGTCCATTATATGAGGCATCGCTAGTTGCGAAACACTTCACACGCTTCAACCTGCTGGTAAGAGAAGTTAGGTGCAGCGTCAGTGGGAGACCCACAGGATGATTGCAGTTCCTGAACGTGTCTCAACCAGCACCGTATGTCAGTCTTCGTTTCAGTGAAGCCCAAGAAGTCGTTTGACTATTTCCAGGCTGCTCGCATAATGCAGCTCCGTTTGTGTTGACACAGAGCCGCATATAGCTGTTGGGTTCAGAACATTTTAGCCTGGTTCTTTTTATTCGGCCGTCAGCAAGTTTTATAGTCATATTAGTCATGACCGCCGTCTTCAACCTCCTACGTGAAGGAGGATGACGGTGCCACAGCCCACTTGTCAGCGTGTCCTGGCTTTAGAACCTTACCCCTAACCTCTGACCTCTGTCTTTGAGTCTGGACACTACGTTCTGGCTGAAGGACCAAGGACAAGAAGATGGAACAGCATCCAACGCTTCCTTGTTGTTACGATTAGCAAACGCAGCGTGGTACGTTTCTGCAGAAAGCAGGCCAGGCTGCGTTCCCCATCGGATATGTTTTCTTTTTTACTTTCAGCATGTACTGTTTTATGCAGTACGTACACAGCTGGGACACACTGCTCTGTCATGACTGGTACGTTAAACTTTGGCCTTTGGGATCTTTCGTGCAAAAATTAGCTCTCATCTGTCTGCACTTTTGGCAGCTCGAGCTCGTTTATAATCATATGAGACACCGTGATGTATGTGAGGTAACTGTGCAGAGAATTGTGGGTCAGAATGGCAAAGAAAGCATGCAGTGCAAAATCCAACCTCATGAAGTAGAACATCCTGGTATTTTTGACATACTTAAGTTTGACGTACTATGTATTTGGACTTAGTACAATGTTTTCTGGCATATTTTTTAGTATGTTAATATGGGTGTTTGGAATTACTGGAATGCACCCTTTTGTCTTTGCTAAGAAGTGCTTAGTAATAGTGGTCGATGCATCTGAAATAATAAAACAATTTCAGAATAATCTGGTAAGTGGGCAGCACCAATATAGCGCTTGTTTGCCATCGTGGTTCTCAAAGCACTCCAGTGTTTCCTAATCACACATTCGCAGATACACTCAAACACCAGAAGGGGCAGAGCTGCCACTGGGAGCAACTTTCAGCTTTGGTGTCTTGCCCAACACTTCAGCATGTGGGCATCGAACCGCCAACCTTGCAGTTAGTGGACAATCCGCTCAAGCACCTAAACACAGCTACCCATAATAAAACAATAACAGATCTATATAATAGTAGGAAGAAAGACAGAAAATGGCTCCACTGCAGACAATAGCAATCTAGAAAATGTCTTTACTCAATAAATGTCCACGAGTAAACTTTGTTTGGAAAGGTTATGAATGATTAATAAAGGTTAGTGCACTTAACAGCACCATTTTATAAGCAGTTCTCCTGCTACTGATTAAGTAGCCGTATTGACGTCAGATGTTGCAGTAAGCCTATTGTGTTTACTGCGGTTGCAAACATGCTGTGCGAATGTTTACGAATTTATCTTAGCTCATGTATCTTAGCTCATCTGATAAGACTA